GGTGGCACCATCATGTATTTGTGTGAGTTATTAGCCTATTAGCGGCAATAGACAAGAAGAAGAAATGCATCATTGAACAATACCAAAAGAAAATAATAACAAATAGAAATTATTATTAATATCGTAGCATATAGATCTATTTGAGTAACAAAGAAAAGAGCAATCGGATATAATGAAATACAAAGCCTAGAAATGAATTGGCGGCATTAAAAGGAAATGGAAAAAATCTCTTGACATAAGAGTGAGAACATGGAATGCATACTGGATTTGTCTTTGGATGATCCCGGCTTCGTCACTCATTTTCTTTCTCTTTTGTCATCACTTTTCAATATGAGTAGCTGATCTCTCTCTCTCTCTCACTCTCTTCATTGCTTTCATTTGGATTCAATCAAGTTTATTTAGTCAGCAATCAGCGGATAATTGGCAAACGATGAACTAAATCGTGCAATTGCTTCTGTCAATAGAAGTCAATTCATATATGATTCTTTCAGACAAGAAGCAATACTAACAATATACCAGAAAAGTCGTCATGTCAACAACAACAATCGAACGATCGATTGTATTGTCAGCCAGAGGCAGTGTGAGAAATCAACTTCTTTTCTTTTTTCTTATACAAGATATAAAGAAAATGAATACGATTTTTAAACCACTCGACATTGTGACCAAGTACTTTCTTCCATTAGACGAACATACTGATAAAAGCTTCTCACGGTCTCTAATAAGCCCAATAGGCAAAGTTCATTTCTTCATCTTATTTTCGAAAGTCAATTATTATAATAAGAACAAAAATCTGGTTTAAATTCAATTATTTACCTCGACACGTTCTTCTTTCAGATCAATTTTCATTGCTAAATCTAAAATGAAAAAAAAAAGAAAAAAGAAAAATTCTTATTATATTTCTAAAAAAAAATATCTTTTCTTTTTACCTTCTCTCATCATAACATCAGGATAATGTGTTCGATTAAAAGCTTCTTCCAATTGTTCAAGTTGTTCTTCAGAAAAAATAGTTCGATGTCGTCGTTTTCGTTTATGATTTTGAGCCATTGTAGCAGCAGCAAAAAAATTTTGTAATGCAGGATATGCTTTAAATAAATAGAATAAATGAATTAATTCATTATTTATTTTATTTCTTAAACTATTTGTTGTCTTTCAAAGAAAATTTTATAATTAACTTGTATCTTATAGAGTGTGCCCGATAGCATAAAATCATTGTATATTTACATGAACAATCACTTTTTCTTTTTTTGCTCTTTGAACTTTCTGTCCTATTGAATATAATAACATCAATAACTTGACGTTATTACTAAAACAGGTGACGATTCGGAAATAAACATCTAGTTATAATGAATCACTGACCATACCAACAATTAAACACGTTTATCATAAGCAAATATACAAAAGAAAAAAAAACAGAGAAAGTATATTTATATATACATATATCATAACTTTTCGCTCTAACACCTTTTGTGTTCATTGATGATTATAGATAGAAACAAGAAAAAGAATATATCTTTCACGATATATATGCATATATACTTACAATAAAAATCGGCAGCAGCTTGAGCAGTACTTGCTGATGTTGTACCATAGTAAGAAGATAAAGGTACTGGTAAACGTGGACGTGGAGCAAGTATATTATCAATAGAAAACGGATTATTATGTGAAACAACAGCAGCAGCTGCAGCTGCTGCTGCAGCCAATTGATGATGACCACCGGTAGTAACCATCGAGTTTCCACCATTTGTATTACCACCACCACCGCCACTAGAAAAATAGGCTGTAAGTGCAGCCGGTGGAAAATGTTTGAGCGCATCAGAATAATGCGGAAGTTGATACATTGTTTTGTTGTTACGTAGCTTTGCTTTCAGTTGCTTTTACTTTCTTTTGACAGTCTGTAGTCAATAATGTAGTCGCTAATCGATCGTGTTCGTCTTTTCTCTTTTTCTCTCTTCTCTCTGTCTCTCTACTTCTTTTCCTTTTTTTTTATTTTTCTCTTTTTCTCTCTTTTTATTCCACCAATCGGTGACGATGTCTATGCTCGGTGATTGCCGATTTTCTTGTGTGATAATTGTTTTGCAAATATTTAATAGAAAAAAGCGAGCGATGCATACATATACGCATAAGCGCAAGGGTGTGTATGTTTATACTTGTGACTAGGTGACAGTAATGTTAAAAGCAAAGAGGTTGTTTTTAATCATCATAAACGATTTTTTTCTTTCTCTCTTACTTTTTTTTCTTTAAATTTGTAAGTATATGCATTAATAAGCCAATCAGTGTGAAGAGAAAATGTACATTAGTTGAATACGAAAAGCGAACCCAAAAAGAAATTGATTGATCGGGGATGATACGTTGTTCGGATGTATAAATGAAACGAGAGATATTTAATCATAGATAAATTATCATATACTACTGAAAGAGAAGATATTGAAAAAAAGAGGATGGACTAGAAAAAGAAATATGTACAATATCAAAAGATTTAATCTAAGTTAAACAAAACAAAAAAAAAGCCACAAGGAATAATTGAATGAATTCTTGATATTTAAAGTATTTCAAAAATAAAACTAATGAATAATTTGAAAAGAATCTATTATAGATTTAATATTCAATTTTATATTGGTGTTTACGTCTTTTGCCTGTAGGAGTTGCACATTATAGTTTCAATTAACATGACGCTGTAAATAACAATTAAAAATCAAATATACACAGACACATTTTCTTATTCTATATTGCAATGCTCGTTATAATTTTTTAATGAACTATGCGTGTGTAACAATCAGTTGGCCATGCATACATATACCTGTCGATTTTGTGCATCTTCTTTTTAATTAATTTCTTTTTCGCTTTTAATTCGAAGGTTAACCGTATGATATATAATTATATAGATCTAACCTTGACAAAAATTTCTTTTACTATCATCAGAAGAGTAAATGATTTCTTAGAGAAATTATTATTTTTTAAAAGTTAAACAGTAATAATAATATAAAATTATGTATGTATAGTACAACATAAGATTTTTATGAAAATAAATTTATTGTAGAGTTCTATAAACAACTGCTGCTGGGTGTAATGTGATGACGATTAATCAACAAACATATGCATCGAATTGAATGAAAACTACTTTTGTTTGCCGACTTGTTCTTTTTTTCTTTGTCCGGTTACAAAGTTGAAAAACACTTGATCAAGTAGTCGAATACATTATCGAACACATTTTTAATAGATGTTCATATAACGGTTGTTAAATGGAGACGAAAAAGAAAGTTGAAGAATTTGTATGTAGAGAAAGACAAAGAAATGAATTGGAGAGAAGTATAAAATCGACAAGCTACACAATGGATGAAAGATATACAATGTCGAAGCATTTTTTTTTTTCTGATGAAAAAGAAACGCAATAGAAAGAATTGTTGTTTACTGTGTTTAGTACGAAAGTCATACTTGATGATCGATTGTTCATGTTATTAGAATTATTGAAAATGATAAGAATTAAATTAATATTATTTAACAAATTTTTCTATAGTATAAGTATATACAAAAAGAGAAACAAAACTATATGTTATTATTCGCATTTATACAAATGATATTGATTGGATTCCTATAAACTTGAATAATCTCTAAAAGTTTCGAAAACTAACAGATTTTGTTGACATAATAATATTTACAGCTTTACTAAAGTAAGTAGTTGAATCATTATTTCTATTCGTTGTAAAAAAAATTTTTTGTAATATTTTATTTTACTATTATTATGTTATCCAATGAAATATTTGCGAGACGTCATTGTTATTAAAATCAAATGGTTATAATTAATCACTAAAGATTCGCTAGATCTGATACTAAAGCATATTAAAAGATTTTTTTTTTCGAATTCTTATCAACCAAACAGTGTGGGATGAAAGTGAAGTAGAAAGAATCTTGTTTCTACATACGAGTTTATCAGGATGAAAACTCTAATCTATGTGCTTGTTTTAACATTGTTTGTCAGAATCAAGTCATTATATGCATATATAGAGCATAAAGATGGTTCATTATTGTTTTGAGTTTTTTCCGACGTAGAACATATTTATTCTTGTAATCATCTAAGCATATAGCATCAGTTATGGTTTATAATTTTTGATCTATGGATGAGACAAATCTAATTGACTTTTAAAAAATATCATGTAAATGAGGACTCTTCGTTATCAGTTAGTACTCTTATTACGAGTATTCTTTAAATGCAATTTTTTTTTGCATAATGACAATTTCTAAAGGTGCTGAGAATAAGAGTCATGAACAGCTAACACGATCAGTTTTCAATCGCGCTGAAACAATTTTATAACTATTATATTGAGTGCCTATTTTTTTGTTGTTTGGAAAACTGTTGCACTGTTCATTTTTGGCAGGTTTTACATAGAAAAAAACATGTATTTTCGAAGGTATGTTTCGTATTGTGGAACTGGAAAACAAATGACAAATTTTGCTCTACTCATTGAGACTACAATTGTATTGAAAGACAAAGATGAAAATTATCCTATTCGTCACATCCATTCCAAATAAACCGAGTAATACTATTTGAACTGATTGAAAGTAAATCAAGAGAATATTGATGAATAATAATTATTGAAAATAATATTTCATTATTTTAATTATTCCCATAAATATTTCCATAGTGAATAAATTATATAATAACTAATATATTCTTTTGTTTTAAAAGATCATTTTCAACGACATACACATAAAGATGTATGTTTCGAAAAAAAAGAAAAGAAAACAAACGAACATTGCTGTGTGCACGAAAGGCCAAAGAAAAATAATAGCAAAAGCGAATGAAAAGAAAGAAAAAGGAAGAAAACTTTGCCAAATGTAAATTTTCTTCTTCTTTTTTTTGTTTAAATATTTTCCAGAGTGCAGATTATGTTATAATAATCAATAAATTCACTTTTATATGTTTGAAAGAAAATGAAAAAAAAAAAAAAAAAACAGAAGCAAAAACTAAGAAAAAAAAACGAAAGAAAAAAATGTATTTTTATTTAAGCTTTATATGGTAGACGTTGTTTCCATGCTTGAAATTTTAACTTGAAAATATCTCGTAATTGCGAACGTTTTATATCAAAATTTTTATTGAGCATTGAAAATTGACGAAGATCATCATCAGATATAAATAGTTGATTTTCTATATCCGTTGGTAGATTTTCATCCTAAAAAAAAAAGAAACGGAACAAAGTTTTCAATGAATTAACAAAAAAAGTAAATTTTACCCAAATCTGCTTCAGATCCATTTGAAAAAATGGATATTGTTGAGATAATTGTAGCTATAATAAATGATTCATACATACAATAGTGGACACAAGTCTCTACTCCATTCGATCTCGGCTGCTATTTATGGTGAAAGTCTGAAAATTTCTATGCACATGCTCGATCAAGAATGTCGGTCAAAGATAAAATCATAATTCGATTGCTTTCGTAACAAAGAGAATTATGATGGATACTACTGGATAGTACTTTATTATTCTTTTGAATTTCATAACTCTGAAAAAGAACAGCTTTATGAATCAACGAATGTCTTATTATGTTTATCAATCTTACTGTAATCATTGGTTAAATGAGAAAATCTATCCCATAACTCAGTAATAGTTAAATGAACTCATCTTTTCGAATAAAGAACGATCATCAACAGTGCTCTAGTTGTATATTAAAACATCAAGAATACGGCATTCATTTATTAAAAAAAAACTTGCAGCAAAACTAGATACTGTTCATTTTCGGCAGAGTATGTGTACATAAATTTTCAAACATTTAACATGTATGATAGTTTAGATCGAATGAGATGAAACCTTGTATTCATAACTATACTAGAAAATAAGAATTGTAAATATTTAATTACTTTAAGGATATGTTTTCGAGTAGTATCACATAATTCAATTGTTTTTTTAGAATCTATAAATATGAATATTATCGTTAATAAATTAGTTGTGAAAATAAATTTTTACCTATTAATGTGTTATGAACACAACAATTATGACTATAGACACCACTGGACAAAACAGAATTACAAGGTGAAACAGATTCACCATGTTCATCACTATTCTCATCTTCTTCATGCAATGGACAACAATGTGATACTTGAGAAAAAAAAACAAGATTGGTTTTTATTTATGATAATTATTGAAAAAAAAGATATCCTTACGTTCAGTTAAACATCCATCACATGCTAATGAACATTCACAAGGACTATATGAACAAGTTTCATCTTGCCCTAAAAATGAAGAAAAAAATGATATTGTATTTTTCTCTGTAGCTGATTAAAGCCTTCGTTTTTTGTATAGAAAAAATATTTACACGTCAAATGTGGAATGTAAATAAACCCCCTCCTGCATTAGAAGACCCCCCCACATTAGTAGACCCCCCCATAATACAAGACCCCCCTGGACAAAAATTTCATCAGGCGTAATAGAAGACTCCCCTTTAATTAATTAATTTTTTGCTAATTAGGAACTTTAATTAGGGAATTTTCGTCCAGAAGTGCACAGTTTTTAGGTTTTCTAGCTGGGAATATTTAGACAGTGGGTTCAAATGTATCCCTCAACCCTCAAAATCGTGAAAATCGCTTTGAGAATCCTGAAAATCGCTCTGGCTTTCTGGAAAACCACATTTAGTTAATAATTGCTAAAAAACCTAGGACATAATAGAAGACCCCCCTGAGAAATTTTTACGACGAAACATAATAGAAGACCCGGGGTCTTTTAATGCAGGGAGGGGTTTAATAATAACTCGTATAGTTAAATGATATAATTGAAAAAAAATCTTTGATTAGAAATCTACGAATATTCTTTTCAGTTTTTTTTCTGCTACTGTCGAAATGACCACAAAAAACAACAATGTTTAATTACTTGATCTAAAACTGTATCAGTGTCATATTATCTTTATTATAAATTATGAATTTTGAGTACTTTAATGATTATTATTCGTAGTTACAAATAACTGGCTAAGAAGATTAATGGTTTGCTTTATTTTGGCATATAGCATGATCCGAGGCTTTCATCCTATGATGGGATAGTGTCAACTCAATATTGAGAGCGATGATTTTGATGACAACAAGGAATTTTGTCAGTTGGATATTTCTCGGCTTATATTTTTGGATCATTAAAATCATGGAAGTCGTTAAAAAAAGCAAAATAGATTAGTCTTAGTGTCCTAAAAATCAACAAAAACATCGGCCGATCCAATTCCAAGTATGATTAGAAGCTCGTCATAAACAAAAAGAGAAATAAAACATATATGTAATTAAAACTTGCAATGTTTATCTCTTGTTGTAATAGTGAAAAATAATTTAACACACTAGTTCTTTAGAAATTTCATAATCTCATAGAAACGTTGACTGATGATTGAAATAATAGATAATATAATGTATAGAAATTTACCTGAAGAATAACCAAGATCAGTTCGTGTACTAGAACAACGAATACATGATATCGATGATGATGTTGGACATTCATCACACGACACTTGTTGTTTTTCTTTTGAAAATGATAAAATTTTATTCGATGACAAAAAAATAAACAAAATTAATTTTATTATACCTAAATTTCTATTATGACAAATACATTCCCTTGTTGAAACAGATGAAAAAAGAGTTTCAAGTGAACTTGATAATGGTATTGTTTGTTCATTAATAACTTGATTTGATGATTTTTGTACACATTCAGATGTAAAAAGTAATGATGATGGACATGATTGTGATTTAACTAATGATATTGATGGTATTATTGTATGACTAATTGATAGAGATTTTGATCGTTCATCACAATAATGACATAAACAAGAACAACAACTGCTTGTTCGGCGACGAGTTACTGTTTCTTGTTTATTATCATTAGAATTTGTACATAAAATTTTTTTTTCATCGACTTTTTTTATTATTGTATTTGGTTTATTCTAAAATAATTTGTTCGTCAAAAAAAAATGATAAAGATTTTATTTCATGTTGAAAAAAAAATACAAACTTCATTATTTTCATTCATTTTTATTTGACGACGAGCTTTACGTTTTGAGCGTTTTTGTTGTTTTTTTTGTACTTTTTGTTCATCGACTTCACGAAATTGTTCACATAATATTTGTAATGTCATACTAAAATCTTGTTTACGATCAATAGCTTTTTCAAAATCTAAATCAATATATATTTTTGTTTTTAAATAATAACAAAAAGCACAAAGTATAATTCATTAGAAATTTACTTAATCTTAAACAATCAATGGCAATATAAAATAATAATTGCCATGTTTGTTCTTCCGATCGCATTGTACGATAGATTTTGTCAAATCGTTCAAATAAATAAATTCCAATACAAGTTAAAATTTCTTCTTGTGCAATGTCCAATGTTTTAGCATGACGTTCACGTCGACTATCTTGAATTTCGGATTCAGCTCGTGCAATTAAATTACCAATAAATATTTTATTAGAATCAATATGTATATGTTTATCATTGGTACATGATCGTAAACCTAGACATAAACAGATTATCAAATTCAGTAAAACGATTATAACTCGGTTGAAAAGTCCTATAGGAACGAATCCTTTTCAAATTTTTGCTAGTCTTTGTAGGCCCAATATGAGCTCAAACGATGATTCGTTCCCAAGTTACGATAAAAATTTTGAATATTCCAAATGAAAATCGTATTCATTTTGTACAAGCTGAATTCATTATTTCGAAATTTCAGTTAATGATATATTCATTGTCAATTTGTCTAAAGCTAAAATTCCGCTATAGGAATGTTGTTAAAAGTTCATAGTGAGTAGTAAGTGTAAAATTTCGACGTGTAATTGGCTCCAGTGTTGCATGTTTTACTGATCTTTGAATTATTCAATTATTATTTTCTACATAAATTACAATTATAGAAGACATTGTTTTACTTAAGTCATATGTCTATGTTCTAGGTTCCCGAATGAAGTTTTTCTATTTATTTGTCACAGGAGCTTTATAAACTAATACAACAATCAATTGTCTTACCTTCATATAAAGCTGGACAAAATCCTTTTTTCTCTCGATGTTTATTATCTGTATTATCCAATAAAATATCATATGCTTCTAATACTTTAAGTTTACATTCCGAACAAAATCTATTTAAATAAAAAAAAACACATAATATTAGTTACAAAAATGAATATTCACTTTTTTTTTTTAAATCATACTTATGTTTATGTAAATAATTTTCAAGTGTATCAAGTAAACAATCAGCTTCGACTAATGTGACTGTATCACGACATTCTTCATTCATGGCATCCCAAACAATTTCCCAATCACTAGAAAGAAAAAATATATAAAAAACTTCTGTTTTTTTTTAAATCAATTTCTACTTTACTTAATTGATTTCGATTTATCTAATGAATGTATAATACATCGACGACTCTTTTTCGATTTTGGAATACTTTCAATAAATGAATTTAATTTCGATCTATTCGAAAGAAAAAAACAACAACAAAAAAATCATAATCAATTCAATTATATCTTCTTTTGTGTGTATTTCTTATACCCATGAATATAAAATAATGTATAAATATTATCCGGATTAGAACTATAAAGTTTTGTTACAGTTATAGAACCTTTTTCATTCATAACAAGTGGTTCGAGTCCTGAATGATGATGTTCTATTAATGATTTTATAAAATTTTCAATACTAATGAGAAAAAAAAACAAAAAACTGAATTTATTTTAAAAATAAAAATCTTTGAATCAAACCTTGTTCGACAACCAATACAAGGTACACTATGAAGAATATATTCTTTTATTTGAGTATTAGGTATACATAGAGCATCATTTAATTCATCCATAGTTAATTTTTTATATCCAATAATAAAAGTTTCATATTTTTTGGCTTTTTTATTACAATAATGATGATGATCACATTTTATACATGAATCATCAACTTGAAGTTTCATCTAATCAGAAAATAAAAAGAATTTTATTTATTCTTTAATATTAAACATAAGAATATGATTTACAATAAGATTTTCATCAATATTGATTGGTATTTGACGTTTATCAAATGATGACACTTGTTCTTTTTGACAGACAGCTACAAGTCGAGCCGTAGGTTTTATTGATGACATACAGTTACTTAGATCACAGCTATGCATTGATCATCTAAAAAATTATGTTTATTCAACAGAGTCATAATATACAAAAATATATGATTGGATAAATGCAACCATTAGACATTCTCTTGACACTCTATAAAATACGTCAGTAGAGTTTGTTGTTTTTTTTTTTCTTTTTTCGTTCGTTCGTTCTTTCTCTCTTCCGACTATTGTACTCAGCTGTTGGGCGACACTGGTTATATTGGAAAAAAAAACTAGTAATTCACAGTGTATTTATCATTTATTCTTCGACAAATGCCCTATTACGTTGTACGTCAGGGCAGAAAACCCGGCATTTATAATACTTGGTTAGTACAAAACAAAAAAAAAGCTCTTAGGGCAAGCTCTACGGGATTAAAATGTGAAGCATGATGTAGCACCTGTTGATAATAACAGAATATTGCTTTATTCTATTTATTTTCAGACACATTTCTTCACCATCCTCTTCAAAAATGCAATAAAAAACCAATTCATATAACGTGTAACGCGGAATAAATTAGACTCTCTATATTTTTTAAAAATCTCTCTAGTCGTCATCTGATTGAAGCACTTTTTTTAATCGAAGATAGAGCTTGAAATAGTATATCTTTTGTAACTTATAGTTTTCTCTATATTTTTTTTGATTTAGCATAATTGTAAGATAAAGTTCAGTTCAGAACTTGAAATTTTTTCTTTTGACAGAACGTTTTATTTGGTTTACCAATGCTATCTTTGTTGTTGTATGGTTCCAATTCATAGACTTAGCTAGTTTATGCTATAAACTGTAATCTAACATATTAAAATCAGACAAGTTCAGTGACTAATGATTCTTCGACATGTATATACAAAAGTGGTCTATACACTATTTTTCACTGAGGCCACACGTTTGAACCTTAAAAACGTCCCGCTAACATCCAGTTTGAGAAATTAGATCGCTCTTTTTTATGTAGATCAGTCACGGTTAGAAGTCGTCGAATCGGGACCCGGTTGATCAAACTCGACCTATATCCAATCGGGTCCCGGGTCCGATACTAACTTGGCGGCAGGATCTAGTAACAGTTAACTCTTTGATTTATTCTGCATTACCCGTTATTAGAACGAGAGGTTATTGATACATGGTCTTTGATCATATGCCAACAATATCTCTGACGATCTGTGGAGGCGTAAATTTCTACTTGCATCTTTCGATACCCCATGTAGATCGTGTTTCACAAAACTGTTCTATTTGATTAATTATGATTATTTTGTTTTTATATTTAGGAATGAATGTAATGAACAAATTAATCGATTTTCTGGAGGTTAGAAGTATGAATGTAGAAAAAATTTATTGTAAATTATTTATTTTTAGCGGAATATAGAAAATTTGATAAACATTCTGATGCTCAAGATTATTTAGATGGTAAAGTAAAAATACAAAGAAATTTTAAAACAAAATATCCTACATCAAAATTTAAAATATCAAATAATACTCCAATTAATTTAATAAAAGACACTATTCAAGAATGTTCGTCAAAATCAATGGTTTCATCTTATGAAAAATTAACAGTGTCAGATACTAATACTGATCAAGGTAGAAAGAAAAAAACAAAGAAGAAATCATTTATTCGTTTACTATTATTTATAGTTAAAGGAGAATATACAATTGTCTACTCAGATGGTTGTTGTTTTGGTAATGGTCGTTCAGGATCAAAAGGTGGTTATGGAGTTTATTGGGATGATGATCATCCATGGTAAGTAAAAAGAAAATTGCAAATGATCTTTCCCAAGCATCAATAAATTTGAAACAAAACGTTTAGTGTCGTTTTCATTTTCGATTTTTTTTATATAGGAATATTAGTGAACGCTTAAAAGGAGATCCAACCAATCAACGAGCTGAATTAACAGTATGAGGATAAGGTGTAGGAAAAAATCTATCTTTCATTTTTATTTTTATTTTAGGCAGCAATTAGTGCCATGGAAGTAGCTTTATCAAATAGTGTAACTCATTTAGAAATTCGTACAGATAGTAAATATACCATACAATGTATGTAAAAAGAAAAAGGAACATATTTAAATTCAAAGAATTAAATATATCTGAATAAAATTTAGCTGCTACTCAATGGATTCATGGATGGAAAAAATCAAATTGGATTAAAAAAACCGATTCGCAACCGGTTATGAATAAAGATCTAATGGTGAGAATCGACGAACTACAACAAAAACTCCAAATTAAATGGGTATTTCTAATAAAATATTTTATATAAAATACAAATAAATTGCTTCTTTTTATTTTTTATTCAGACATATGTAGCTGGTCATTCATCAAATAAAGGAAATGACGAAGCTGATCGTTTGGCTAAAGCCGGTGCTCGAAAATAATTAGTATTCACAAATATTAACTTTCTGATATATATGTACCTATTTATTATTATTATGTTTTTTTTTTGTTAAAATTCTTGTGATAAAATCATTCTCATGCTGTAAAAAACCAACGAATAGTGGAAATTCTATTAAATGTAAAGATTACTCAGTGATGATTATAATATGTTATTTTATTTGTATCAAAAATGCGTTTCAAGTCTTCAAAATAACGCACACTGGTGTTAACTAACCCAGCCCTTCTAAAAAATGTAACTTCGAAAAAAAGAGAATTTACACATCCATATCTTAATATCAAGCAGATTTCTAGGAATTAAACTAGAGTTCGGATAGCTTTCGTTTACGAGAGAACTCACTACTTTGGATGAAAGAATGGGTTGTTTTCGTTTTGACTGTGTTTCATATATCAAATCATTGAAATTTCAAAAATCTAGACAACTTAGGATTGATTTAGCATAGACGTTATGTAGAAAATTCCTTTCGCTCATCTGAAGGAGTGCAAAGAAGATCCATATCAACATCCTCATGTCATTGCAGATTTCAAAAGTGTGTCTCTAAGTTGTGCAACATTTGATTACCTCTGAAGAATATTAGTTTATTTCGTAGATCTAACTTTACCAAAAAAAAATTTATTGATCGCTCTAAACATTATTTATTGTTTAATTTGTTTCAAAATATGTTCATGTGATTGACTCAAAATAAGGGTTTTGGCGAAAATCAAATATTCTGAGGAGAGTTCTTAATTTCAGCTAATACTTTGTTTACTCTGTTTTTTTTTGAAACGTAACGCGAAAGAGAAAAAAAAATTCTTACAATCATAGTAATGACTCGCTTCTGTTTTTTAACAAGACACCTTAATTAACTAACATTCTCTCGTCCTTTAAATAAGACAGTGTTTGTGGTTCCGACGAAACGATTTATACTATTCTTTCGAGAGTACAGAACTAACATATGCATGATTTAATATATCATGATATACTAAATTTAATTTTATTTATCTTTTCGTGTCTTCTAGCTGATATGTCCCTAATGAACAACTCTTCCTAATTTTGTATAGACATTCGACTACACACCTGATGATTGAACATTCATATAATACATGTTTCAATGTGTCTTCATCTCTTTCCAAAAGTGAAAACCATGACACATATATCACAATAAATGGTTCTTATCGAAATTTTATTATTATGATATTAGTTGAAGCATGATGAAATATTGAAGCTATGTAGAGCACTAGTTTTACTATTAGTGCATATCGACAGAAAGTATCCTTGACATTTCAATATACTATTGAAGTGCTTCCGCTACTACTTAGGGTATGCTGAAAGTACATCTGAAAATATAGTTTGCATTTTTTCACTTGATAGTCATACTTATCAAAAAATTTATATTACAATCATACGTATCAATATTTGATGTTGTAGTTTCAATAGGAACGAATTCATAGATATAATACTTTGTTTAAATACAAATAAAAAAGTGTTTTACTAAGGGTTGACCAAAAGTTGTGACCACGGCGTTTTAAATTTTATAACACATTTAGTATCGAAAGTTATTGTTATATCATTCGCCTTCATGTATACCGACTGTATACGTGCACGTTTATTTCTTTTCTCTGTTAAAGTGAACTTAATGACCTTTATTTATCGATTTATTTATTGATATATTTATCGATTTATTTATTAATATTTCTACTAAAACTAGTTAAAAGTTAAACATGAGTGAAAATAGATATATTAATATGACGCAAAAAGAAAAGGATAATTTATGTGATGGTATAAATTTTCAAAATACTTTAGAACAATTACAAATTCTGGATCAGCGTAATCAATCTCCATCATTAAAACGGCATCGGACCAATGGAAGTGAATATCAATATGATGATGATCGCGACATTGTAAACAATGATAATGGAAATTATTATCAACAACAACAAAAAAACTCCAGATACAAAAAAAGAAATAATTACTCGATAACTGATCAATCATTAACAACCAATAGTAGAACATTTACAAATTCAAATTCAAATACCACCATAAATAGAATTTCTCAACAACGTAGGAATACAATAGGTGATAGCAACGACTCATATAATAAACACTATGAAAATCATGAAGATGTATTTCGTATTTCAAATCAAGCACTGACCTATGCAGCATCAACACATCTGCAGCCTATTAAAATAGAATGTGAGCCAAAGATGAAAGATCAAAAGGAAGCAGCTAAATTCATTCAACATTTCTTTAAATTTATCGAAAAAGATTTTTACCTACAGAATATTAATCATAAAAAACCGGCTGGTTTTGAACAATGGTGGATTGACAAGGAAGGTAATATTCAAGGAACAACAAAAGTAATTGATTTATATGTATTTTTATGCAACCCACAACGTTATCCAAAAGAAATTAATGATATTAAAATTACTCCTCATCCACCCAAACATCTACCTCCACAAAGATCTGTCATTTTAAAATGGATTAAAAATTCAATTTCACGTAATGAACTAAAAGAAGAATTAGAATTTAAATTTAAATCAATTTATTCTATACAAGATATTATTGGAACTCTGAATACACGAAATAGACATGTACGAATTGATTTTCAAGATGAAACGGAATATAATACAATATTGAATAGTGGTAAAGTATCCATTTATGGTCAATTAATTGATTGCGATGAGTATCTTCCTGCACCAAAATTATTAATATGTTCTAAATGCAACACACCTGGACATACAAAAAGAGTATGTACATATTCACAAGTTGAATTATGTAGAAGGTGTGGTAAAGATCGTAATGGAAAAGAAGATCACAATTTATGTGAGGTAAAATGTCACCATTGCGGTGGACCGCACACCTCAACTGATTATTCATGTCCATTTATTCAAAAATATCGTCGCGAACTTGTACTTGAATTAAGAAATCGTCCCGATTTACTTCCTGCTGAAGCTCAGCTATTTATACCAACTGAATGTCGTGAAAGTGGTAAAATAACAAAGATTTTAAAAAATAAATCAGCACAATATCAACAATTTAATAAAAATCAACATTATCAATCATTTAATCATCTCAGTTCGGATCATCAAAATCAATGGCCTTCATTACCATACTCATCATATTACTCATCAAAATCAGATTCAAATACGAACGTAAATGAAACGATCAAATCACTAAATGATGAACTAAAAACGTTAAAAGAAACCTATGCTGCTGAACAAAAAAAATTAGAAGAAAAATACAAAAACCATTTAAATTCAATGAATCAATGCTGGCTAATTATGCAACAACAAATTCAAACTCAAACTGAAATGTTCACTTCAATGGATGGTATTATTAATTCTATAGTATTTTCTACATGTACAAGTTTAATGGAAAGTTTAACTCAAATTGTCAGAAAATTAAAAAATGATAATAATCAAAATGAATTTGAACCAATACTTCTTCTATTACAACAACAGCTTCTTCTTACTAATGATAAAAAATCCACGTACATATCGCATCAAATGAAATTAAATCAATTAGCTGAAAAACAGCGTGCAGTACTTGATATAGCATTGAATTCAATTATCAAACAACCAAATGAACTGTGAAGACTTCAAATATGCAACCCCAACTGTAAATATGAACATAATCGAACATTTTGATGGAACTTTACATGAACAAACTATTCTTTTTTCTATCATCTCTGAGTGGAACTCACGCCTGTCTATATCACAGCTATGTAAGAATTGGAAAAAAGAACGACCAAGTAATATAGAAGATGACAGTTTTTTTCTTCTCTTTAACTGTGAAGGTCTAAGTACCCATGGTGCTGATCTTGATATTCTTATTTCTTCCCACATTCCTAAAATTATCATTTTAACAGGTGTAGGTAAACAAATTCGTAATCTGCGCTCTATTCCAGGATATTATTGGGAATTTTCGTTTGGAGATAATAGTTTCGGAGGAGTTGCCATTTTAATTCACCACTCAATAAAAAGTAAAGTAATTGAAAAAGCCGAGAACTTTTTAATGCTGGAAATTCAAACCACAAATGATACAGCTATAGTAGGAGGAGTGTACGTCCCCCCTAGGAAAAGACCACCTTTTCATCTTTTCGAAAAATATTTGGATAAAAATTTCATAATCTTTGGAGATTTTAATGCAAAACATGTTCAATGGAATTGTACAAAAAGTAATACCAGTGGCAATCAACTAAAAGATTGGTTAGATCAAAATGGATGCGATACAATTCATACCCTAATCCCTACTTCCAAAAGATCGGAGTCGATTATAGATTTTGCTATTACAAACGACGGATCAGGATGGAAAGCTGAAGTACTGAACGAAGGAACTTCAGACCATTTTCCTGTTCTATTTTCATCACCACTATGTTTAGGAGAAAACTCTTACTTTCGACAAACAAACTGGAAAATTTTTTCTTTCTTTCTAAAATCAGTTTTTGAATATTGGAATGCCACTGTCTATAATTATGATCATGAATCGTTCTTTATTCTATTTTCTGATTTTCTTTCTGCCCTCTGGGACAGATGTAGTATTTATGAATTATCTAACAAATTCAAACCACCATGGCCTCATTATTTGCTTACTCTAGCTAGAAATGTTAACAATTTCAAAAGAAAATATAGAAAAACACGTTTTTTAAAACATTATGATGCTTATAGAATTTGGAATGATGTGTATAAAACTGAAAAGTTAAAATTTGAAGAAAACCAGAGAGAAAACAAACTAAAATTTATAAGATCTGAAAATAATATTTGGAAGTTTGTAAATAAATCTTTTAAAAAATATTCTCCTCCATTTCGTGGTTTGAAAACATCAAATGGAATTATAAAAGATAGTAAAGAAATTGTTGAAATTTTAGCAGATCATTATGAAAAGCATTTTTCTTTACCTATAACAGATTTAAATAATTCACATCATTCTAAATCTCTCGAAGCATATAATCAAATATCATATATTCCTAATATTCCACTTGATCAAATTTCTATTGATGAAGTCGCCAAGCAATGGAAAAAGTTCAAGCCGAAGAAATCTTTAGATAGTATTAACACTTCTGCTTTTCTCATGAAAAACCTTCCTTATGAGTATTTAAACGTTATTACCATTCTTTTTAATAAATGTGCGTCTAAAGGAGAGTTTTTCGAGCGGGGTAAGCAGGCGAGAGGGATCTGTTTGTCTAAGGATGGAATTTATCCGTCTGTAGATAAATTACGTTCAATTTCGCTGCTGCCGAACCTGGCTAAATGGTTTGAGAGAATCATTGTGGTGAGAATCGAGCGATGGAGTTTAGAGAATGGAATAAATACAGATGAACAATCTGGATTCACTTCTAACCGAAGACTCCAAACTCGTATTCTCTCCATAGTCGAGGATCTTCGGTTAACTGTGGCGGCCCCAAACCGTCCAGCACTGTCGATCTTCGTCGATTTTCTCACTGCCTTCGACCGTATGTGGTATCCCGCACTGATGAGAACTCTTGTTCAATTGGGCATGCCTCTGCAACTCCACAGATGGTTATTTGTTTGGTTGCAAAATCGAAAAATGACCATCTCACACGGTGATGCAGAGTCGAGACTCATCAAAATTTCACTTGGTGCTCCACAGGGATCGGTTCTAGCTGCATTATTGTTTCGTATACATATCCACTATCTACCGTCTTACTTTGCTCAAGTAACCTCTCACTTATTCGCCGACGATCTCACATTAATAATTAAAGGAGCACTTGAATTAAAACTCTCCGATAATCTAGAATATTTAGAGCTGCAAGCAAAGTCAGTATTAAAAAGTTTAGAAAAATTTGCTGATGATCTTATACTGCCAGTAAATGTAGCAAAAACGAAGTCAATGTTAATCCACAGTGCAGTAACAGCTTCCAACCCAAAAATTGAATATAAAGGAATTACAATTGATTATGTGAAATCTTTTAAATTATTGGGAGTAGAAATCGGAACTAAATTAGGTTGGGATAATTTCATAAAAAGTCGCTTGAAAAAAATAAGAAATATTTATAACGGTTTAAGAAAATTATTCCGCACTATACCTAGAACAGAGATAAAAATTCGCCGAAAACTTTTCTCTGCATACGCTTTACCTCACTTCTTTTGGTTGTTTGCCACGTGGTTCTTTTACACTGCGAAGCAGCAAGCAACCGTGGAGCATGTTTCCTGTTCTGGTATAAGGATAGTTTACAATCTTCCCAAATGGGACGATCTTACTACTCTTGCACTCGCTAGAGAAGTCTCACTTAGTGATTATATTTTAAAATACTGGGTAAAATTTATGAAACATTTAGATGTATCCACTGAAGGAGTTGATTTTCAACAAACAACAAATGCTTCTTTTATTGCCACCTCAAATTCGAAAATATACTATAAAAGTTGTGGTTTTAGAAAAAATGCAAAATTCCCAAATAGATTAGCTGAAAGAGCGCAAAGTACTAAACTCGATTACCTAACCTTTCTACATATTCAAAAACAGCAGTTTCAAATTTTCAAGAAATCCTCCAGTGTTCTCGAGTGGGCTATTCTTAAATACTTTCCACGTCCATCCTGAATATTATAACTCTTATAATAATACTAAAAAAACAAAAAGAAAATGTTAATATATGAAAAGCAGTTACTCTTGTTATTTGTTTTACTATGCATGTTACTCTTCACTCTCCGACACCTCTTCCATTTTACCTTTTTCTTATAAAAATTCTTGTCATCTTCAAGATTCTTGTAGTATATAAAACTGCTTACTCAAACACGATTGTATTTTTTTTTCTACTCCTTCTATCTCTGTTACTCTCTCTCTCTGCAAGGCTAAACATATTTTATTGCTATTGTCTTGTTAACCTACTAAAGGAACAATAAATCTCTCAATGTTAAAGAAAAAAAGAAAGTTATTGTTATATGAATGCATAGTCAAATGTCCGGTCTATAGTAATGCATATAACAACTCTATCTTGAATTTAATGCTAGGATTCTTTTAGATAAAGTTTATAATACAGTAACTATGTGAATTTTAGACTGATTGGACAAATGAAGAGTCGCTAGCACCAGAGGTTTCTAAGATAGTTAAGAATGTTTCCGAAAAAGAGTTTTAAAAAAATTCGGACAAACTGTTAGAAAGAATGGAACTTTCTATAAATAATAATGGTGACTATTTTTATTATTTAATAAAATAAAACTAAATATATTTCTTTCTTTTTCTATTTTTATTTGATATTATCAAAATTTTTGGTCTGTCCTAAGTAAACTTTATCTAAAAGAATGTTAGAATTAAATCCAAGATAGAGTTATTGTGCACATTATTATAGACAAGGCATTCTAATATGCATTCATGTAATAAAACTTTCGACACTAACGAGGGAACATACCAAGGTGTTCAAGCCGTTTAGGTTCCATCTTTTGGTCATACGTAGACCTTAATGAGATATGAAAAACCTAAAGAGGATTCGTTCCCTCGTACCTTTGTTCCTGAGATATCGAGTTTTTAAGAAATTTTTCTCATAGGATTCCAGATTTACAGCAACATCGTATTATCGAATTTTGACTTGAGACTGTGCCCATGTCAACCTCTCAAATAGAGTAGATTGTGCACAAAATTTCAGAATTTTTTAACGTAGCCTTTAAGAGATATACATGTCCCAAAATATTGATCTATTCTACAATATCTGTGAAAATCAGTCTATATTTTGGGAAATACATATCTCTTAAAGGATAAGTTAAAAAATTCTGAAATTTTGTGTACAATCTATTTAGCTTTTTCATACCTCATTGAGGTCCACTTATAACCAAAAGATGGATCCTAAACGGCTTGAATACCTCCGTATATTTTCTCGTAAGTATTTTATAAAATTTAAAATGCCGTGATTAGAAATTTTATTCAACCCTAAATATATTAATCAAAAGCATCTTTTGTATCTATGTCGAATGTTTGCTTAAGGGGTAATTAATATATTAATTTCATTTATTGATAAAGAATGAAACTTGAATTTTAGCTGAGTCTTTTGAAAGTTTTCGCACATAATGTTTATCTGTTCTATATTAAAGATCAATAAAACAACGTTTGAAAATGTAAATCATTTGTTTAGATGAAAAAAGATTAAAATGCTATGATCACTTATTACTGAGACAAATAGTTTCATTACGCAAATTTGTTTACAGATAGGTTCGATAATCATTCACAAAAAGCTTCATATATTAAAATTCTGAAACTGATTTCAATAACTTATAGTTCAAGAAGCGTTTTAATAAGACATATTCGTTTATGATTTTCATTGGCATTAAAGATATTCAACAGATAGTAATGAGTGAATCGAAAGTGTTCAGACAAAATGTTAAGAAAAATAGCAGAAATTTTATAACATCGGATTAATATCAGAATGCTGTGCTCTTTCCAAATATAGATTCGAAGTTTTTGTAAGATGCTTATTTTATGAATTAGCAGCGAATTAATGGAAGGTCTGATAATGAGGGTCGGATTGGTATCATAGGGCAAAATAACGCACGAGACAGAAGTAGAGCTGATTCCAAACACATCAAAAACAGAGCTAACATTTCTCTACAAAATGACATCCTAATTGTTAATTTTCCGCAAGACAGCTATCAACAGTGACTGTTTTGACAGGCGGCACTGCGACATTTTTGCGATCCCTTGATTTTCAGAGGCATAATATACACTTGGTTATTTCTGGACGCTTGTTTCAAAAACGTCCGTTCTTAAACGTACACTTTAGAACCTGATCTCACCCGTCAGACTGTAAAAAAACATTTGTAGAACACAAGCAACAACAGTCATGATTTGCTGAGGAAAACGTTTATTCTTAAGGTAGTAATGCAATCAAACGAAACGAAATGAGATTTGCACAAAATGAACATCTCTATGATAGAAACATGTAAAATTTCTGAAAAACATGATGGAAATAGTTTCAAACAGTATACGATCGCACTCGCCATCTGTAGATCTATCAGTGCAACTATTTCTGTTCAAACTTTATTTTCATATCTTTTGAAGATTCTCTAATAACTCTCCTAAAATATAAATCTAATAAAAAATTTCAAACATAAATTCAAAAAAGAGTACAAAATTCTGATTTAAAATCAATACTTTGAAGAAAGATTTTATTTCAAAACTTTCTGCGTATCGAGAATATATTGTAATCAATAAAATCTGATTCATACATTTATTAGTAACAACATAGCAATAATTTCCTTTAGTAATCATCGAAATAATGAGATATTTATTTGAAAAGAAATAATTATTTTTACATATGAAATTATGTTCTTTCTTTTTTTTCTATACTTCTTTTCTTTTTTTAATATTTTATCATTGATCCTCATACGCACATATATGTCTAATTAATGACGATGATTGTAGAGTAAAGATAAAGAATAATAAGAAAGAAAAAGAAAGAAACTGTACATGTGAATTTGAAGAAAAAAAAGAAAGATAGAAAGAAAAAAAATGCAAACACACTTTTTTGAAATAAAAAATGAAAACAACAAAATGAAAAATTAAATATCCATTAAATTTTTCATTTCAGTTTGTTGTTGTTGTTGTGTTGTACGTAAACGTGTTTGAATATTTTCAAGTTTAGTTCTTATACCTATATCGAGATTAGATGATGATGATGTTTCTTGAATAATATCAGTTAAATCAAGTAATGATGGTAATATTGTATTTGTTAATATATGATTAATTTTTTTTGTTTGAGAACAATGATCATCTATTTTTGTTTCAATTATATTCATTTTATTTAATAATGTTGTACTGAAATTCATAATCACAGATTTTAAATCAGATACATCATCATTTGTTGTTGAGATTTGTGTTGATAATGTACTTATATTATCATTATTGATAATAGGAGATTTTTGAAATGTACTTTTAAGAAGTGTTTCTAAATCTTGTAAATTACCATTATCTGTTGATATTAATGGATCAAAATGTGTTGATTCATTTAATACTTGTGGAATTGTAACTGTTTGTTGAGGAATTAAATTTGAGTTTTTAAATATATCAATAGATTTACGAGTTTTATCATCGATTGTCATAGATGAGTCATTTGCTATTGTTTCAATTTCATTTTTATCATCATTATTTGTTAGTGAAGTAGATGATGTTGCTGGAATATTAGTATTTGTTGCTTCACCGTCACTACTATGAGCAGTACCAGTTGGTTTAGTTGGTTTTTTAAATGTGTTCATAAGAAGAACTTCCAGTTGTTGTAAACTGCCCGATATCTAAATGATTATAAAGAAAACAAAAAACAAGATATTAATTTTATTCGATTTATTTGATCTTACTTGTGGTTGAGTATCTGACGTATTTGATGATTGTACGATTTCACTTGCATAGGGAACAGATAATGGTGTTGGAGAAGGTGATATAGACGTATGACTATTTTCAATAGTTTCGGTCGTCGTTGAAGTAGAAGAAGAAGGGGGAAGAAGAGGAAGAGAATGAGGAGGAGGAGGAGGGGGAGATATGATTTGTTTATTAGCATCATTTGGAATGGTAGTATTAATGGGCTGAGAAGCAGGCATTGCTGAATATGAAAAATTTGGAGAAGAATGAGTTAGAATATGAGAATTTTGTAATATTGGTTGTTGTTGATTTAGTAATGCTGTGGTGGATTGAGATTGAGTTTGTAAAGCAGGTGGAATAGATGATTGGGGAACATCTAAGAAAAATTCATTATACAATAATTCAAATGACATAGTATTTAAGTTATTTACTTGTCGAGGATTCATTAGTGCTGGGTAGTCCAGATTCTTCTGTGTGCTGTTGTTGTTGTTGTTCAGTAACGATAATATGACTTCCTGATTTTGGTATCAAAGAATCATCTTGATTGATCAACGGCGTTGGTGGTTCACTGGTATCATTAACAATAGCCGATGTTGTATTAGTACCTTGAGATGTATTCATTTTATTGAACGTTTTTTTCAATGCTGCTTCAAGTACTTCAAGACTACCCGCTGAACCAGGTATATTTGGACTCAGTTCAGGTAGTTGAGTAATTGGTATTGGATCTGTTGGTTTAACTGCTGGAGCTTCTGCTGGTGGTTTTATTGCTTGTTGTTGTTGTTCAGCTGATGTTTGTTGAATAATTGCAGGTGCTGGTGTAACAGCAGGAGTAAACGTCGTTTGAGGTACAGGTATACACTGTGTTGCCTGTTGTTGTTGTTGTTGTTGCTGCTGCTGCTGTTGCTGTTGTGGTTGTTGTGGTTGTACAATAACTGATGCTTGAGGTGTTTGATTAATAACTGGTTTTCCATGACCGGTAAATACACCTGCTTGTCGATCAAGTATTTCATAATTTAATGCTCGTATACGATCTTTTATTGATTGTATAACAAATTTTTTATCTTCTTCGAATATATAATCTTTTGCAATAAGTTCATCAGCTATTTGTTCAGGTGTATCAGAATTTAAATCATATGAAAAACGTATAGCTTCGAAAGCTGTTGGTGATGTTTTATTTTCTGCATATAAAGCTTTACGTTTAGCTTTATCAACAATTTTTAATTTTAAATCAATTTTATCTGTTTTAGTCGTAACTAATGAATCATCTGATGTATCTCGTACAAGATCAATACGTAAGCCATTATCATCAAGAAAAAACGAATGTTGTAATAATTCATGTACAGGTAAACGTTCTTCTTTTTTTGTACGTATACAACAATCAATAACTTCTCGTACATCTTCACTTTCGACTTTAAAATAACAATCAGGTTTTAAACCAGCTGTAACACGTTTTATAACAGCTGTTGGTCCTTTACATTCAATATATGGATATTCGCCTGTCATCATTTCTAACATACATAAACCAAATGAATATATATCAACAAGTTCATCATATTTTTCATCGAACATTTCAGGCGCCATAAATTCCATTGTACCACGCATACTTTTAGCAAATGTTTGTGTTTTAAATGTTGCTAAACCAAGATCACCTATTTTAACACAACCTGTTGTACTTGATATAAATACATTGTCACATTTTAAATCACGATGTATAACAGGTGGATTACGACTATGCAAATAAGCAAGACCTTTAAGTATTTGACGACACCATTTTTTCATGACATTAATACGTTTTTCTTCTTTTTGCCCTTTAAAATTGCGAATATATCTGTGAAAAAAAATGTCAAAGAAAATGTTAAATAAGAAATAATTGAAATTATTATTATTTACCCTTTTAATGAGCCTGATGTCATTAATTCAGTAACAAGAATAATAACTTTTTTATTTGTTCGTGGATTTGTTTCTTCCCAAAAATCATAAAAACGTACAATATTTTGATGTTGAAGTTTTTTTAACATTTCAGCTTCTTCTTTAAAACGAGCTCGTTCATGCTTATCAAATTGTGCAAAATCCTATATACAAAAAAGAAATTGAAATACATTGTAAAAAACAAATATTTCTTGGTTTTTTTTTTAAATTTTTTATTTACTTGTAATTCACACCAAGCTACAGCAACACTTGTTTCTGTATCTAAACCACGATAAACAGTTTTAAAAGCACCACGTCCTATTTCTTGAGCATATTTGATAAAACGATTATCAGGACTTTTCGCAACTGCTTCTTCTTCTTCATCCTAAAATAATATGATTTTTAATACAAAAAATAAAAACTTCATGAAAAAATCAAATGCTATGCTATTGAAAGAGTTTCTAATTGTATTAAATAGATGAGTAGGATTTTGTTTACAAATGAAATAAGTGTTCTCTTTCTTGTCAAAGCTATAATTAATCAAACAAACATAAACGTTTAGTTTTTTGTTTTTGGCTTAATCTATTTTTGTAAACCAGTAATAAAATGTGTCTTTCATCAAAAGTAAAATTAGGCAACATAAATTCCAAAGATTTCTGATACAGCAGAAAGAATTCGATACAAAAGAAAAATATACATTAATCCTTATTGTTTTTAGGTCAAAGATTCTACAAAATAATGATAAATGTCAAATGTTATTCTATAGAGCACAACAGATGATCATTTATCATCATTAAACATATTCGTTAGTATGTACCTAATCTACAAATCTTGACCTTTATAGTAATCTTTGTTTTATTTGCGTAAAAGAATGACATTTGTACCAGCATTTTATTGAAAGTTTGTAGTGATCAATTAGAAAATTTTCTAGAGATCTATTTTAACTAACCTCTCCTTGTGCTGAAGCTGCAGATGAAGGAGGAGCTGTTGTTGGTAATGCACTTGTTGGAGCCGATGACCTTTCATCTTCAGCAGCAGATTCAGTTTTTTTATGTTGTGTTACAAGAAAACGGACACGATGATGTCCGCCACCATTTTCAAGTAACTTAGCAGCTGATAGTGTACCATTAACAGGGTTATCTGTATTTGTTGTTGAATTTTCTCCATCAGTTGTTGGTGTTTTTGTATTTTTTCGTTCGTTTAATGATGGTTTAAATGGTAATTTTATTCCTTCATTAGGTACAGAACAATCATCATCATTTGATGACTTAGCAGCAGCTGCATTTGCTAATAGGATTTGTTGTTGTTGAGATTTGCGTATAGATTTAATTTGAAAACGATTTGGTTTTCGTGTTGGTGCTTGATTTGTTGGTGTAGCAACTGTTGGTGCTAATGATGAACACGTTGAATCACATGGAAATTTTTTTCCATTTTGTTCGAGAATATCTAATGGATGATAACGATGACGACGTTTTGCTGTATCATCGTCTGTTGTTGTTGTAGCTAAATGATCACGTCTTTTTAATGAATATCCTTTAATTCGTCTATTATTAACAATATTATCATCATTAACATTATTTTTTTCATTATTATTATTATTGTTATTATTATTGTCATCATCATTTGAACTCGATCGTTGTTGTTGACTATCTTTACGTACATTAGTTCTTGATAATTGTCCATTATTATTATTATTGTTATTATTATTTGTTGATGTCGATACACTTGTTTTTCGAGTTTTTTGTAAACGACGATTTTTTATCGTTTGTTTATTATTATTATTACTAATTTCATGATCTGATTCATGAGCATCTGAATCAATGGATGATGATTGATTATGTGAACGATGTACACTTGATTCACCTTCTTCATCTGAGGAACTTGATACTGCAATCGACATAGTTTTTATTCTAGTATGAGCAAGAACATTTGCTATACGACGACTTGCTTCTGACATAGATTTATTATCACACTAAAATAAAATAATTTATTTATTTTTTTTTAGTATATTAATTAAAGGTTGTAATGCCATTCTATATTTATGTTTTCCAGAAATAGATAATAATTTCCGGAATGAAAAATTTTTTAATAAAACTTAAGTACACTATTTGGAATTTTATGTTAAGAATGAAAAAATAAGCATGCTGCTGATTAGATACCTACACATATGGAATATAAGGAATTTTGAATGTCCCTTAAATGTTTCAAGAGAGTTAGATTCATTATACTCATGTTTTTACTGATATAAAATATTAAGTTTTATAAAATATGTTTTAAAAAAAATACCTTTTGTTCATTAATTTCTTTTGATACCGGAGCTGGTGCAATAGCATGGAAAACAAATGGTGGTGATGGAGAATGGGACATACTCTGAAGAGACTTTTTATTTAAATAATGTCCATTATGTTGATGATGATTATTATTATTATTATTTGTTTTATCAATGGTAACTGGTTTTGTAGGTTTATTTTGATGAAAATTATTTGATATTGCTGTAGATTTTTTCGAACGAGTATTAAGTGTACTTGATGATGCATAATTTTGTAAAATATTTGTTGCACTTAACGGCTTTTTTAAACCATTACGATTAGGTTTTGTTTCACTTCCATTTGTTGCCATATTATTTATACTATTACTAGTTGGTAATCTTGATTTAATATTACGTTGTGATGACGTTGTGGTCGACATTTTGAAAAATAACACGCAGATAAAAATACAAGAAAATGAAAATCTGACTAAATATATTCTTTGATAAACTAAAGAAATATCTTCATTACACAGTAAATAAATATATAATATATGTCGTATCTCGAAAGATGAATAATATTCTTTCGTATTCGTTTATTTTGTGAATAGTTATCTATTATAATAAAGCTTGTCAAAATATTTGACTAATAGGTAAAGTCTTTTTGTTCATAAAATTTAAATAATAATAATAAGTATTATTATTATTATTATAAAATGAATCTCTTATTAAAATATTGATAATAGAATGAATGAATATTTGAATAATATCGATAGAAATTGTCGATAATATATATTCCATTACATAGATTGGATCAAATCAGTGAGTATGTCGATATTTTCTTTGAGAAAAAAAGAAAATTATTGACATAAAACACTTTTCAAATACGTTGAACAAGAGAAAAATATGTTGTTGCTTGTATGTTGATGATATATTCGAAATGGAATCTAGAAGAAAAAAAGAATAAGAATAAGAGCAAAAGCAAAAAAAAAACAGACAGACTAAATGTAAAACGTGTCTGTAGTAAGCCGTTAACGATTGAAGGAAAAACGACGACGGGAAAAAAAAATAAGGCACAGATTTTTTTTTCTTTCTTACAGGAAAAAAGAACAGACTCGCTTTTTTTCTCTCTCTCTCGCCTTTGTCTCTTTGTTTTTCAAGTAATACTGGCTAGACTTATGTAAATAATTTACTTTACATTTTTCGAAGGGAAAAAAAATGAAGTTCGCCATTCCAAATAAATAACAACAATTTGTTTTAGTTACTCAGTTTTTTTTTTCTTAAATTGATTTTCGTTTTTTTTTTTCTTCAATACTTTTACTTGAATCAAGTAATCATAAGTCCATTATAAGAGATGGCCTAAAGAAGAAAAAGCAAAAGAAAATGTTAACGTGCCAAGAAAAAGAAAAGATCTACCTAAGATTCATCTAGTCGATCCTTGCCTTTACTCTTTCCGTGTACGACAGAACATACGTGAATTTAATGCAAGCGCAAAGTGAAAAACACTTTTTTTTTTACTTGTTGTATGACATTTTCTCTTTACGTAAATGAATAGAGTATGCAAAATGGTAAACAACAATAGAATGCATTTTGTTAATCAATATCAACAAACAATAGTTTGAATAGACTGAAGAAATTACATAGAACTACCCAATTGGATAGAATGTATTAGAGAGGCCGCTATAGTGCGTTCATGTGTTCACTATATAATGTTACTTTTCTAATGTCTCTTGAGACATATATCTATCTATAATTAGTGCAAAAAAAACATTATTTGTACTCTTTCCGTCATATATTATTCTAGTCTTGCTTTTCATCGATTTACAACCGTAATTGGAATTAGGATGAATCGAAAATAACAGCTGACGTCAATGTTCTTACACACACATCCACACGAGCGAGTGTATCTCTCGTTTTTTTTTTCATTATTTTCTGTAACGACAAGTTGCTACCATATGTGCCTACGCTCTTCTTCTATTATCTTTACCAAGTCAATACAAGTTCTCAAGAACCGAATGAATGATTCTTTTATACTCTTCCTTTACATGCCTACATTTTCGCTTTCTCTCGTCAATCGATAGCAACTAAAATTCAATTTAACATAGGCTACACATACATCAATGGCCACTGGCAATATATTAGTGACTCGATGACATTTTCTGTACCGGTAAAAAAAATTGAAGAAAATATGTAGGGCACATTATATTACATAATCAAAATCTTCTTTTCTTTCTATATTGTGATCAATATGACCTTCACGGAACTATACATCCTGTTTATGCATTTGTATCTATAATAGAACAGAGATTCTTTCTTTTTTCCCCTTGTCTTTCTTCTCAAATATCAAATTGTTTATGTCAACAGGCTAGGAAATCAACTATTATCTAATGGGTCAACTCGTTTTGGACACTGATAAAAAAAGAAACTAATAACAATCCATACAAATCCTTAGATAGAGTTCTTCTTAACATTATTGAAGAGTTTTAAAGTATTATTAGATATAATAGTTTTCTTTCTTATTCGTTATACACCAACGAAAAAGAATATAGAACATGGTGTAGGCTCTTTCTTTCTTCGCATATGTTTGATTGTCTCATCGATTATCCTTTAAGACAAAAATACAATTTGCTTATCATTAGAAGTGGTAAGAACGTGACCAGTACACATGTGTTTCTGTACTTGGCTCTTCCTTCCCTCCTCTTCAACTTGTCAATACTCTTATCTACCTCCTCTGCATACATATATTCATAAAACTATCATTTAGACTTTGTTAGACATGTATAAAATGGTCAAATTTCATAGAAAGATCTAATCTCTATTTTTTTTCATTAAAACAAAGATTTTTTTTTTATTGCTCACTTATGTTGTAAGATACATTACATATAGACGATGTTTAGTAACATACCTGTGCATAATGATGAGGCATAAAAAGATGAATATGTCGTGTTTAGTGAAAAAAGAAGTGAAGGAGAAATAAGTTAATCAAAAATGACGAACCGAGCGATGAGCGTAAAAACGGGCTTGCAAAAACGCACGTTACTTTTCTTTCCTACTTCGTCATCATCAACGGTTGTTGCTGTTTAAATCGTATCGTGGTCGAGATAAATGCACACAGCCATACAATATTAAACGTGCAAGTAGGCAAACGAACGAATACTTCAGAGGTATGCGCGTGTACTTCAAGCGGAGTGTAAAGAGCAATTACTTAAAAAACATATACTGCTTAGTTGCAATAAATGTTTTCTATTATACTATTAAATGAATGGAATGCAGCAGAAGATATGTTGCGAAGGAGGGAAAAAATGGAATATACATTTATTTATATCATTCGTACTACACTAGCATATTTATTAGTGCCACATCATCGTCTATTACTTAGCTGCATCATCGTTAGTGTCCTCGATCGTATGGATTAATATAGAAAAGAACTAGACAGAATGAAAGATTTTCTTCGAAGCAAAAAAACGTATTCTATATATGGGTCAACTGTCGGTCATTTGCTATTCATCAGATAGAACATGTCACTCGACATCGCATGCTTTAAGTGGGAGAATTTTTTTTTTCTTTATATATTACAAAAAAATAAAGTAGAAGACCCAATATAGATAAGAAATTGTATTACTGTACTTTGACATTGGCAATCAAGGGAAATATCAATATGCATTCATTTTGACTGTTAAATAAGTGGAAACTTTTGCTGCGTACATCGAGGTATTTATGTATATAGTTTGTTTTTTTTCTTCTCCTCCATAATGATTCTCAACACGTCGATTACAACTATTGACGCCTAGTTGGTATTTCATCATCAATACATTTTTTTTCGGCATTGATCTGTAAATGCCAAGGAATTTTAGTATTCAAAAAGCAAATTTATTAGGTACACAATAAATCCTGATAAAATATAATCAACACTCATATGTTTTATTGCTTTACAATCCAGACAATTGTACTTATTTCTAGGCTTTTTCCGTCAAGTTCAGACGAAAAAAACAACAACAAGTTTATATCTTATTGATGATGATCATCTATCTTATATTATTCTTAATAACATAGTACTGCAAAATGATTATTTTCTTTTCTTTTTTCTTACAATCGATGATGTTGTATGTAGTATATAATACACAACGATGACATAAAACCTCCTTGTCGTTTTTTTTGTTATATATTTGCGCTGTAATCTAGTCTTAAAGTCAGTCCAATGGCAACCGATCGATCAAATTGTATATTGTGTCTATAGTACAAATGTGCGCATGTTCGTAAATATATATGATATAGATATAGTCGACATTTGATAGAAGTCGTAACAAAAAGTTTCTTTGGTCGATATTCTCATATAGTCAACAATAAAAATAACTTTTGATTTTTTTTAAAATATTTATTTTGAAGCAAGAGAAAGAAAAAAGAAGTTTATAAGACATCTTCTTGTCTAATCTTATTAATCAATGTCATGAACATGGACTAGAATGTTATTTTTTTCTTTTAATAATAAATAATATTTTTCTTTTTATTAAATTTTTTACAAAAACATGCTGTTGTTTTTCTTTCGAAGAAGACAGAGAAAAGAAAAAATTTTGAATGAATTATTTAACATGATAATATCAGCAGGAAAAAGAATTATTATTCCTAAATGAAATAAAAAAAAAAACAGAGTTAAAAACTAGAAAAATAATTTTGTTTTTTTTTCTTACTTCATTTTCCATTGAATCTTGTAAGATTGTATTCATATTTCCCATAATACATCGACCAGTTAATGTAATTGTTGTTTTAAAATTATTTCGTCGTTTTATTGTTAAAATAACATTTTCACTATAGAGACCAAATTTTTTTGGACGAAATTTACAGGTTAATTTAACAAATGATTTCTCTCTGAAAAAATAAAATTTTAAAAATTTCAATTGAAAAAAGAAAAAGAACACGCATGCTCTTTATAGAGTAACGCATTACCTGATTGTAGCACGACGTACACTAATGCAAAATGGTAAATGTGGTTCACTTATATCAACCTATCAAAAGAAAAAAGAAATTATATTTAAATAGATGCTATTATACTTACATCACATGGATCTGTTCGACTATAATTTTTTATTGTTAATTTAAGAGTTTTTGAACTTGTTGTTAAGTCATCATTGATACAAACCTGACCAAAATCCAGTATATTCTGTTCAATACCGATCTGATTTGCAATATCACTTTTAAAAGAAGACAAAACTAAATTTGATTCTATTTAAAATAATTGTCTATTTTACAGTATAGCATCTTTTTGTCGATGTTGACTAGTTGAAGTAAGATCGCCATCACTTTGAGCTGTTGTTGATGCTAACGACATATCTGATACTTGACTTTGAGATGATGTTCGATTAGTAAATTGTTCATCTGAATTTCGTTGTTGTTCTTTCGTTGATGATAGTAATATTGGATGCTAAACATTTCAAAACAACAAAAA